ACCCATTGCCGCACGCATCGTACTTATTGTCACAGACGATCTACCGCACTACGAGGGCGACGCCCAGTTGGGCATTGACTGGTGGAACCCTAACTCGGGTGTAGAACCTGAGTCGCCCCACTTTTGGAGTCCTGAATTCATCAATACCAATCTGTACTATCCAAACGATAGCCCCGCTATCTACGACCCCGTCAGCAACGGTGGGAACTACATCAGGCTGCTCGAACTCAACGACAAGGCGAAGCAGGGACAGGCATTGCCAGTTCGCAACCTCCGTCTTAGAGGCAGTACTTTCACAAACTCAACAAAGAACGTGCAACTCTCCACAAAGAATGTGCAACTCAGCGACGATGAGAGGAAGGAATACGACGACCTGTTGAAATTGTTGGGTCCTGCCAACTTTCCTAACGCTAAGCCTCATCCTGGAACCATGGAGGCAGCGGCCAACTGTGGGGAGTACGAATATCCCTCTCTGGCGCAAGTTGGAAAGGCAATGACGGACGCCGGAATCGTGCCGCTGGTGCTAGTTAGTGAGCCAGACTATGTATATTACGAGTCTTCAACCTTGTGTGCCCAGCGAGGGTTCGGCTTCGGGGAGCAGGACAAGGCTGGGTTTGTGAACTGCGCTAGACGAATGTACGAGGAAGACTTTAAGAATATGAACCTCACCTTCTACAAAACCGCAGCGTTCTCGAAGAACGCAGAACAATTCGTTACCAGCATCAAAGACGTACTCGACCAGATGACCGCGTCCTTTGATTGCAACCCGCCTACGCCACCACCCGTACCCGGTGACTGCCCTACCGCCGTGGCACCCGTGCCAGTCATCGTCGCCGACGACTCCCACCGACTCTCCTCAGGCGCCGTTGCCGGCGTCACCGTCGGAGCTAGCGCCGGTGTCGGACTACTCTTCGGAGCTCTTGGATACGCCCTCAGGGCCTGGACCAATCGCGGAAATGCACCCAGCTCGATCAAGGACGTCGGCCTTGACGTAGACGCACGAAACGTTACCGTCAACAGGGACGTCACCCAGATCCTACAAGCCGACATGTTCCAGTAGGAAAGTGTCCGAATGTGTGCTCATCGTGTGCACACACATTCCAGCGGGAACAAAACCGGGAACAAAACCGGGAACGAGACTTGAGGAGGCAACATAGCCTCCCACAGGCGCCTCCCATAGGCCCCTGATAATAGAAGATGCCAAAGTGGCACAATGTACAGTACTACGCATTTACAACGATTTTGTTTGGCTAGACTCGTCCTTCCTTTCCTGCGGGAACCTGCCTCTATGGCAGGCATCTATGATACAATACCCGCAGCATCTGTCGGTCTGAAGCGCATCGGACATATTGGTATTGGACGAATTATTGGTATTGGACGAATTACTTGGGAGGCATTACTTGGGACAATGTATTGGCTGTACTCTCCATTTGAGTGAGCTTGACAGCCATCATGTATAGAAGAGACTTATTGAGATTGTCGTCGGTAGCATGCAGTGCAGGTAGCATGCAGTGCAGGTAGCACGCAGTGCAGGTAGCATGCAGCGCACACATCTACCGGCATCATTGTGTAGTTCTTTTTTTATTAACGTGTTAAACGTTACTACTCTAGATTATTTGGGACCTTCAATGGTACTTGGAAACCTTTAGCGGTACTTGGGGACCATAGTATAGTCCTTGAGTCTCTTGGCTGTTCGGTCATTGAGAATAGATGGTCTGATTCGTCGGGACTGATCCGTCTAGTTGTGGTGTTGGTGTTGTGGCCCTGTTGGCCCCCAGTCTTTGAGCAACGTGAGTTAAGATCTGTCGATCCTGCATTATTCGGAAAGCGTTTTCCTTCGATGCGGCTGTGGTCATTTCGGTCAGGTCCCTGTCATGTGCTCTTTGTGAGTGAATACGTACAGCTTCCACCGACCTGAAGATTTTGTCGGGACATCGGGGACAGAAGAAGGTTTCAACGTACGACTCTGCGTCTGGGGGTGAGGCGGGCGGAATTGGGTAAAGAATGCACACAGTCCTAATGTCCAGCTGACATCTAAAGAAAGTTGCTGTCATAACATGCACCCAGTGTGTGTACCTTAAAGTGTGTGTACCTTAAAGTGTGTGTACCTTAAAGTGTGTGTACCTTTAAGTGTGTGTACCTTTAAGTGTGTGTACCTTAAAGTGCTTACATTGCGCAGGTGTCTTTGTTGGCTTGGTAGCAGGTCGCGCACATCCAGTGGCAGCAGGGCTCGGGTCTGAAGCGCCAGTTACAGGGTTCCGAGCAGACTGGGCAGAAGAGTAGCGACATTGCTTCCGCCGAAAGGTTGACCAGAGTCTCCATTATAATTATTATGTTTTGGCAGAGACTACGCGAACAGGTGGAGCTGGAACGAAAAGCAAAGGCGGTGGTTTCTAGCTTCGCGGCCACCAGGTCCAAAGAGTACCGGGGACGGGTTGTGGATTGCTGTGGGATAATTGGTTTCTGTGGGTCGTCGGGTGAAGCGAGTCACGTGTTACTGAACGGTATTGAACTGTTACAGAACCGGGGGTACGACTCCTGCGGGATCACAACCATTTCGAACCGGCGAGGGCGACCGGGGTCGGATGGTCGTGCCACTCTAACGACGACCAAATTCGCCTCTCGTGGAAGTACATGTGATTGTGTAGACTTACTCAAAACGGAATTACAACAGTCCCGGAAACATGCGGGACATGCCGTTGGTATTGCACACACACGTTGGGCTACGCATGGCGGTAAAACTGACGCAAATGCGCACCCTCATCTCGACTACAAGAAACGTGTGTCCATCGTGCATAACGGTACCATCGACAACTTTGAGGAACTCAAAGCTGACCTAGAACGTGCTGGAATACCCTTCCAAAGTCAAACTGATACCGAGGTCATTGCCAACCTCATTGGTGTTGAGCTCGACCGAGGAATCAAATTTCAAGACGCGGTTCGCAACGCCGTCCAAAAACTCCGTGGGACATGGGGCCTACTTGTCATGCACAAAGACGACCCTAATGGTTTCATGTGTGCGCGGAACGGTAGCCCTCTCATCCTGGGAACAACCCAAACAGGTGCGAAGACGGCGACAGGTGCGAAGACGGCGACAGGTGCGAAGACGGCGACAGGCCAATCCAGGACGGCCGGCGCTCAAGAAATCTACGTCGCCAGCGAGCCGCTGGCACTGGCGAGCTACACCAACGAATATCTTTCTCTTAACGACGGAGATGTCTGCTACGTCTCGCGCACAGGCGGGATCGCACATCTCGAGGATGGGCGAGACAAACGCCGCATACAGGCCGTTGACCTTGCGCTACAACCCGCCCCGTTTCAACATTGGACTATTAAAGAGATCTATGAACAACCGCAGGCGATTAGTCGTGCTCTCAGCTTCGGTGGTCGTGTGACCACCGGAGCAGCGAGGGAGACTGGAAGCCGGGAGATGGCACCAGCCAGCAAGGAGGCCCGAACGCCTGGATTGGGGGGCAGAGGATTGATTGCAGGTGTTTCTCGTCGCGTTGTGAAGTTGGGTGGCTTGGAGAACAATCCAAGATTATTGGAGATCCGTCATTTATGTTTGACGGGGTGTGGTACCAGTTTCTATGCAGGATTATATGGCCAGGAGTTATTTCGCTATTTAGAAGCGTTCGATAGTGTGAGTATAATTGATTCTAGTGATGTGGAGTCTTGTGTGTTCCCTCGTCCGTTAAAGGAGTGTGGTCTATTGGCATTGAGTCAGAGTGGTGAGACGCGGGACGTAGTGCAGGCATTGGAGCAGGCTGAGAAGCATGGTGTTAAGATCTTCAGCGTGGTTAATCAAGTGGGTAGTCTTGTGGCTCGTATGACCAACTGTGGTGTGTACCTTCATGCTGGACGTGAGGTGGCCGTCGCCAGTACCAAAGCCTTCACTTCGCAAGTCATCGCGCTAGGCCTCATCGCCGTTTGGTTCACCCAACACACACGCGTCTCAGACAGCCGAGCCGACCATGTCATCGAAGCACTTTCTCATATGCCCTCCGTAGCCTCACAATGTCTAGGCCTCGATCAGACCTGTCAGAAGCTTGCTAAACGCCTGTACAAACACAAATCAATATTTGTACTCGGCAAAGGTTTCGGCTATCCAGTCGCTCTAGAAGCCGCTCTTAAAATCAAAGAAATAAGCTACGTACATGCAGAAGGCTACGGTGGTGGACAACTGAAACATGGCCCGTTCGCAATGATCGATGAACAAGCTAAAACTCCCAGTACAACTACACACTGGGGTGTTACACACGCACTTTGGTGTTCAACACACGCACACTGGGTGTTTGTTCTTTGCAGTCGTGATGTTGGTTTTCAATGACAGTCACGCGGCGGCGATGACGAATGCGGCTCAGCAGGTGAAGGCGCGTGGTGCGGAGCTGATTTGCATCACAGATGACCCGTCTTTGGTCGCGGGTGTGGCGGACGAAATAATCCAAGTACCCAGTAATGGTTGTTTAACTGCATTGGGCGCAGTAATCCCCCTGCAGATGATTGCTTATCACATGGCCGTGATGAAGGGAATAAACCCGGACAAGCCCCGAGGCCTAGCTAAGACTGTCACTGTCGTTTAGACTATGGGGTAAATTTGTTTTTGTGCGATAGACCAATTTTTACATGAGGACACCACACGGAGTCAGGACACCACACGGAGTCAGGATACCATACGGAGTCAGGACACCATACGGAGTCAGGACACCATACGGAGCATATCGAAGGCTATGTGCCAGTGGTATGGTACGTTTGGGTGTTTTGGTTTTTTGTGCGTTCATTGAAACGCATGATTTAGGTTCATTAGCCGGTTTAGAAGAAGAGGCTCAGGATCCGGATTACTATTATCTGGTGGCACCACGTTATCGTCCAAGTGTGGAACCCGAGGGATATAGTACACGTTGCAATTGGTCGGTCTTGAAGTTCCCTTTTGGAGGCTTTTGTAGTAGTCAGAATTTAGCTGACTTTTTACAGGAGGCTTGGGAGAATGTATTTATCGAATGTGGTAGCACCTTAGATGACAAACTTTACTCCTCAGGAAGGTTCTATTCTTATCTGGATAGTGTTACCTACCATATGCAAGTCGCTATTATGAAAATGGTTGTTGGCGAACATGAAAATTCTGATCCTTTCTCAACTTTCCGTATACGAGACCTTCGTGTCTGGGAATTAAGGAACCTTCAAAACTTCCAGAAATCCGTCATCAAACGCATCAATCGACTTAGACTATCCCCCATGAAGAACCCCGTCAAAAAAAATCCCTCTACTGAAGTCATACACGCTGCTGACACCAACCTTGCCATCAACCATGCCACCAACCATGCCAGCACACATGCCAGCACACATGCCAGCACACATGCCAGCAACCATGCCAGCACACATGCCAGCAACCATGCCAGCACACATGCCAGCAACCATGCCAGCAACCATGCCAGCAACCATGCCAGCAACCATGCCAGCAAAACCATTGAATTCCTAGACTTCATGGGTAACCGCTTCGAGGCCCTGCTGATCTGGGAACCCCACAACGACCCTAGTTGGCTAGGCGCCCTCGCGCAAAAGATTCTCCCCGGCTATAGTCCAAAACATTTATGCATCCACAAAGTCCCGCGACGAAAAAGGATACCTCAAGATGACCAATACAATACATGCCCGCACGAGCGCGAGGATCAACACCATCGTACACGGCACCATGAATACCGCATGACACCTCAACATGACCGCAGGACACCTCAACATGACCGCAGGACACCTCCACATGACCGTCGGAAACCTCAAGATGACCGTCGGAAACCTCAAGATGACCGTCGGAAACCTCAAGATGACCGTCGGAAACCTCAAGATGACCGTCGGAAACCTCAAGACGACCGTAGGCAACCTCAAGACGACCGTCGGAAACCTCAAGACGACCGTAGGCAACCTCAAGACGACCGTAGGCAACCTCAAGAGGATCAACATAGGAAATGTGAGCACGACCGACAACAGGACCGACAGCACGAGAGAGACTGGCAGGACGAGTGGCACGACGGCTGGGAGAACGCACACCGCAGGTCACGTCAGGGCCGGCTCTCTCGAAAGGGGAGTTGGTGGGGACATGATAGTTGGCTTCGAGACCTGATCGTCCAAAGGTGGCCATCCACCCTTAACAGTGCTCACAGCATGACCGAACACCATCGGCTAGTACGCACTAAGCCAGACCCCCCGGTCCGTCAAGGAAAAACGTCGACCTGGACTTCAGGCGGCGTCACAGTCCCAGCTGAGAAACCTCGACCGCCTATGACGCCACAGGCGCGGCCGGCTTTGCCACGTTCGGCACGCACGCCGGGATGTATAGCGTTGACTTCGCCTAGAATTGAGCCCGCGAGTTCGCCGAGATTTGAATTCATTGCTTCGCCCAGAGCTGTGCCCAGGACTCAGCCTAAAGATGTGCCCAGGACTCTGCCCAAAGATATGCCGCCTAGAACAAGAGCTAGAGCCGTGCCCATGATTTCACCTAGGGGTGTACCCATGACTCCGACTAGGGTTGTACCGATTACTCCGACTAGGGTTGTACCGATGACTCCGACCAGGGTTGTGCCCACGACTCCGACTAGGGTTGTGCCCACGACTCCGACCAGGGTTGTACCCATGACTCCGACCAGGGTTGTACCCATGACTCCACCAAGAAGTATAGTTATGGCTCCAGCTAGAAGTGTGCCCACGACTCCCATAGGTCATACGACACTGAGTCAACGTACACGTGGACCCTTGACGTCGTCGGGGTTGATGACCTCGCCCGAGTTCGTGTGTCCGTGCGAAATCAGGAACAGGTCAGCATTCGTGTTTCCGCCCGACTGTGAGGTGAGTGACCCGGAGTCGACGTCTCTGTCGGATGAGGAGTTAGAATTCCTGGCTTATTCAGAATACGATTCAAGCCACTTCATTCCACCTGAGCGTATGCGTCAGCCTAGAGGCGTGGTTCGGCCTGGTCGTGCGGGGTTCGCAGAGTCTAGCCGAGAGCGGAAACCGCGTCGATTAGGTCTGTCGGAGCGGCGCCTTCGAGAGGAGGGTGCGAGGCCTCGAGCCGCACAGTACTACTACTAGAACTCGTCATCTTGGTCTTCGTCGTCAGAGTCGACGTACTTGTGATTTTTTCTAATATGAGCAGAGTTCATCTGGAATCGAGCGGTGGGTCTGATGACGATTTCATCATCGCTATCTTCGTAAGGATGGTAGGTGTGTTGTGGGGCAGGAATAAAGCGTTTGCACACACGTTCGTTTTGATGGCTTTTGTAATTGCCTGACATGATGTCATAAATTAGAGAGGCATCAGGTAGTGGTGGTATGATGAACTGACGCGGCTCGGGGAAGCGCTCAGTACTCATTAATTCTTTTTTGCGTAGATCCCAGACAGCATAGGTAAACTGGAACTGGCGTCCAGGTCCGAGAGAAACTATATTCAATGGCTCCGGAGAAGACCACAAATTAGCCACATTCAAACCTTGCGAATCAGGATAAAGAGCTATACCATGCTTATCAAAGAACCGACGCTGTACCGTAATGTCATCACGTACCCGTCGTTCTTCCTGCCCACCAAAATTGTCCTCTGAAGAATCGTCACTCCCATCCTCCTTCCCACCACCATTGTCCTCTGTAGCCAATTGCAAACCAAACTTCATTATAGACACATTCAAAGCTCGTGTTATATGTCTCTCCTCATACAACGCATCACCACCAAATCTAAACCCAAGCAATTCCACACACTCACCAAGAACAAGCAACACAAAATCTACCCCTCGAGGAGGTGCCAGTATGACATTAAAGGTAACCTGAACCATCAACCAAAATTTATAGCCCGGAAACTGGGCTGGATGAAAGGGTTATGAGAAATAGCTAAGATACGCCCCCGTCACTGAGTGGATGGGGGTCACGGTCGGATCAGATGGTGCTTATCCAGCAGTCGTTGCCTATCCAGCAATCATTGCCTGTCCAGCGGTTCATTGACCTTGGTCAGTTCATTGAACTTTGACGGGTCGGTCAGGTGTGTGTTCGGGCAGGTTGTTTTTGTTCCAAAAAAAGCGATGGTAACTTCACGGAGTAATTTGATAGCGACAAGGCGTGGTCGTGAATGCATGCCGGCGGGGTCTTTGGGATACTTGGTGTTCTCAAGTGAGTGTGGTAACGAAGGGATTGAGTTGGTCCGTCATTTCGCGGTCCGGTCGGTGCCGGTGGTTATGCCAGAGCGTCCTCCTCGTTTCTACGGTGTGCGGCCAGTGGATGAGACGGATCCTTGGACGGCACACTTTTTAGAGAGACGTGCAGCTCGTCTTGCCGCTGAGAGTGCAGAAGTATTGGATATGTCACCGGAAGCATCTCCAACTTTGGAACCCAAGTTTCTGAGGAACCCGAAGATGAAGGCGAAGAATAGAGTAGCACCTCCTGGGACGCCCAAGTTCTGGCGCTCGGAATATCTGAGTGCGAGTGAGAAGTTGCAGCGTCTGAGCGCGCAGTATGATTCGCAGGGTAAATACTACATGGATTCGAAGGTGGACAAGAACGTCACGTACACGGTGCCAAAATATGCCAGCACACCTAATCTTGTGGATGTCGGGAGTACGGATTCACTCGATCAATTTGCCGATGAGCTTGTCGAAGACCTTATCGAATTTGACTTTGATGAATTAGACAAAAATGATAACACTACGGACGACTGTAAACTTCTTGATAAAATCGACATGGCACGTGGCATGAAGAAAATCCGTTCTAGCATGAGTCTTGACGGAGTTATGGACGACGAAAACGGTGAACAGATTCTTGGTATCGAATACGACAACCAGGAAGAGGAACGCGCCCACGATCAGACGGGGGCGAAACACGGCCGACCATTTGCTGACCAGTTCGTCATCTCCCGTGACACACCCTACTTGTACATGGGACTAAGCAACCCCACCTCTCCGCAACCTCCTGACGCGTCGCCACCGCCCGCCTATGACGACCAGCAAGATGAAGATGTGACCACGAATATGACCCAGAATATGACCCAGTATGGGACCCGCAGGAAGCAAAAGAAGGGGAAAAAGCACAGCCCCTCTCGTGTCCCGTTCCGAAACGTTACGGGTGTTGTACATAAGGCCAGAAGCATGGAGGCTTATTACTTCGTGGACTACGTCGATGGCAAATGGTCCATTATACCCAAGATACTCCGAGGACCCTGGAAACGAAGACTCAAAAGTACAGCACCTGAGGAGAAGCCTACACACCCTGATGCTAACATCTCATGCGTTTGGGTCTACGATATGCCCGGTGAACAGTGGCTCGTGCTCCCTGCAGCCCGCCTCCCGAGATCCCTGGTCCAGTCTCAAACGGCCAGTATACTCTCCAAGTGCTATCGGAGATGCACGGACGCGTTCAGAAGAGAAAAACAGGCCCCAAAAGAATCATTTTTCAACTGAACATTTTTCAACCGAACGTGTGGACAATTCAGCGTCAAACCACCAGTGATGACCCCAGCCCGACCATTGATGACCTCAGCTCGACCATTGATGACCTCAGCTCGACCATTGATGACCTCAGCCCCACCATCGGCCCCGAGTACGTGGACGTCATACAAAGAATCAGAAAGCGACGGCGGATACCTACCTACCTGCCCACCGACCAAGTTTAAACCCGAAGTCGGTCGGGGGGCGCATTGTTGTCGGTCAAAAAGCGCATTGTCCCAATGCTCCTATCCCGGAAGCGGCGCAAAACGCGCGGAATGTGTATCGAGAAGTTCGTAGACCTGCACCAAGTATTATCCGCCCAGGAAGGGGCATCATGATATTCCGCGCGTACCAAAAGTGTCGGCACAAACTTTTGGAAGGTGCTTCACCTCTTTTCACCCAACATCAACTCAATACTGGAAGGTGCTTCACCAGGTCTCGATACGGAATCTGTTTAGCCCGCAGCCCACTACCAAACGGCTAGACCACGCAGCGGCCCACAAACACGCACACCGATTTCATCTAACAAAGACTAGAATAAGGAGACAGCTGCAAACACTACCATCACCTTACGAGTCGATGAACCCAGAAGCCGTACGACCTCCATAGGACAAAAGCTTCTTCTAATTAATGTGGCTTGAACTCCGGCAAACGCGGTACAGGTATTGGCTCCTTGCTACTCCAGTCACAAGAAGTGATCAGCTGCATCGCAAGCAGAACGGGCAGCCTGACGTACCGTTATGCACGCACGCCAATGTGGGCGACAGGTGCCTCAATTCATTTTCATAATGTTATCTCGGAGTGGCTGGCGACCCTACCGTTCGCAGAGGATACTCGCTCGTTCATCGACGACATCCTGATCAGCGCTGAGACCAACGGCTAAAACAGCGGTTTAAAGCCACGAGGTGTTGGCTACGTTCTCATGATCCCGTTACGTGGATACCGGGAGTTCTAAATCCGGCTGACTATCTTTCCAGAATAAATGGTGCAGAGACCACTGAGCACCTCAGCGCCCCCGATAATAAAGATAGAAGATGGGTCACAAGTGGTTATGATTATCGACTTGCTGAACTCGACCAGGAACCCCTTTCGACCTACTTCTTCAACGCGGGGTTTCTCGGAAGGATGCTTTAATGGTGACCTTCCTGGCAATCACGAAGGGGATTCAAGTAACCCAACAGATCCTTAAAGACCAGACTACTGGTATGCTCCGTAGTGCATATTCGAACCGACCATTAATGAGACTAGTCAAGGACACATTCGGTGGGCGGCATGAATCGCTAAGTTCGACATCAGCACGTCCCGGTAATGGTTTGGCTCTCACGGGGGGACAGCAGGGATCTACATTCCCTGTTGGTTTCGCCAGCTCCATCTGTCCGGAACCACCTGGGCAAAACAACGAGAAGAGAGGATCATCTGAGGGCGATACCGACGGACCGAGCGCGGCCACATCATCAACTGTGGAAACGGCGCGCTGTCCATGGAAAGTGCAGCCATGATGACACTGAATGCTACCAACAGCGAGGCCACACGTGGAATGAACGAGAGAGCGGGAAACGTTTCTGATTACAAACGGAAACCAGCTATGTCTGTTCGACACCCAGGTGACACTTCCTGAGATTCAGACGCCACTAGGCCCCACTCTGATTGATACTGGTTCGGCTACAAATCTGGTCCATTCCGAATATGCATCGGCAAAGAAGCACTCAAATGAAGACGTGGAAGCTGAACAACTTCGGATACAAGGTGTTCTCGAGAAACACGACGGATGCTACTGGGAAGGAAAAAGGTGTTTCGTCCCACGTGACCTACGGAATAATACTTTGGATGACTTCCACTCACCAAATGGGCTCCATCTCGGAACGACGAAAACGTACCGATCTTTGAGTGGCGCATACTATTGGCCTAAGATGCACGAGCAGGTATCTCAGTTCGTGAAGACGTGTCCGAAATGTATACGGACGAAGGCCCGACACGACTCCCGTCAAGGGCTTCCACTACATGTCCGAGCTACCGAACCTTTAAGCATGCTCATGATAGACGTATATGGACCTGTAAGAAGACCTGGACGGAACCCGAGCTACATCCTCAATCTTCTGGATATAGCCTCACGATATTGGCAAATCTCCATCATTACCCAACCATTCACGTCATCCTTATTCTGGGGAACATTACTCCAAAAATGGTTCTTACCATTCACAGTCCCTGAACGAATCATATCTGATAACGCAACAATTTCCATTCCCGGTATACACGGGA